ACTACTTACTGTTGAGAATTCATCCAAGTCAAATTAATAATTCTTTCACATGTCACAGTATTTATAGGAATCCGGCAGACGTTCAGCAGCGACATCTCGAGCCTCTCGGCAGCGCCACCTGCATACAGTTACGTGAATTGACGGATGAGATGTAGTGTGGAGTTAAAATATTTAATTCCTTTGATATTTCACAAATGACTTGAGTCACACTAGACCTATTAGTAAACCTATTTGTTGCATAAATCTTTCGAAATAATAACTCGAAAAAAACTAAGATATACCAAAATACGTTAACAACTCAATGTTGGAAAAATATCGCACTACCCGGGTACATTAAAAAAGATATTTGAAGTTAATATGATCATAGTATTATCGACACCATATAATCAGTATTACCTATTCCACTGAAAGATCTAAAACTGTATAGATTGATATTTCATTGTATATAGATCGAATTGAACAATGATAGAGTGTCAATTTAATTGACAAGAGTGGGATATTCAAGTTCACTGGTGTTAGTTAACACTTATATGAGTTCAATCTCAATTGTTTGTGAATTATATTACATCTGAATTGATATTCTATTAAAATTTCAAGAATATAAAGTGAATTCGATATGGGATCAGTGGGAATTCAATATAGAATTAGTTTGAGAAAAAGATAATCTGCGAGAAGTGTAGTTATAGAGTTGATTGCAGTATCCGAGTGAGTTTGTCAAGAGTATTTTAACTCTAAGAACATACTCTGCGAATTTAACTCGAAGCGTTTTTTTACTGTGTACCTATATCACGAATGTGTACCCCTAATTTTACCCACCTTTCCTCTCAGCATTAGTTATTATATACACGAATAGGGTTATTACTGGTTCGTGCATGTTTTTCAATAATTATATTGGCTGTGATCGGAAAAGTAGACAGTTGGACAGGGATTTATTTACTTCAAAGGCATGTCTAGAAAACTCAATCGACATTATATATAGGTAGGTACAAGCACTAACGCATATACCTAACATGTAATGTACACTAGCATCACACATTCAGGTAATTTGTTTCCTGTATGATTTTGTTATCACTGAACTTGCTATGGCTTGATCTATATAATTTCTACAACCACAAACGTGTGGTTATTACTGGAGTTTTTCCAAATAGCTATGAAAATTACTATTGAATGAATAGTTTGGTTAGTGAATATTACAGAAGTATTGTTTGAATCTATTCCGAACTATCTATAAAATACACAATCAATAATTGATGGTCTTATGGAACATACTAATAATTTGATACAATTCATATATTATAATCTAAACTTTATGAGTTGATCCTCTAGAAGCTAGACAGTGAAATGTGCATTGTATAGTTATGATATCATCTGCTGACAATCACTCTGACTAAAAATTTCTGTAGGACAAACCGACAGATGAAAAATTAAGTCAAGCAGGGACAAATCGATGATTCTTTTCAAGATGTCACAACAGGTGAAACCGAGAAGTCTCTCCCATTAGTAAGGACGAGAAAACATAAGAACAAAACTAACGAAATACATATATTTCAGTGAAGATATTTCATCAAGTTTCCCTATCCTTGAGAATGTTTATAAAAAATTTGATTGAATCGGCCACGAATTACCATTTTACACAGTCAAGTAGGGTGGATTTTCAACTCAATCGGGTGTGGACCGAAATTGACACATTTATACGTGGACCTTGAGTGAAATTTCACAAATTTTTTTTTTTTTTTCAGTGATACATATTATATAAATGTTGGTGTGAACAAGTGTAATTTTTGTATATTTATTGGATATACCTTCCTATTTTCTCGAACATGATTCGAATTGAGGTATTACTGACTATGGATTCAATTTCTCTTTCGAGTTTTGAAATGGGGAAATTTTCAAATGCAACGACATTGTGGCTTGAATAATCTCAGTTCTTGGTACACATTCGATTGAATAATACTCATAATGAATACTCTATGGAGGTTGATCATAGGGGTGGATTTCCCGAATAATCTAGAGGAATACAGTTCTGTTTGTTGTTGTATTTATATAAAATTTCTGTCTTTCAATCATCTTGAACATGTTCCTTCTCGGATAACACTCCGTATATGGAGAATGAGCTCTAGTAGGACTTAACAGAAATATTAGGTTTTCCGTTTGGAAAGATTTATTATAGTTTTGAGTATAATTCCTGTTACAAAGGAAGTTGCTAAATTTCATAGTTATGTTGATTGAGTCAGCATTATATCACTTTCTTTCTATACACTGAAAAAAAAAAGAAATCCCTATCCATTCATTTTCTTTTTCTACACATTTCAAAATACACGTTTCTGATTGGTTGGAACATCTGTGCTTATAATCGATAGCATTATGTTCGCGTTTTTCTATTTCGGCTATTTTGATTGGAAACTGGATAACTACATGCTGTATTTATGATTCTGTATTTCGCTTCCAAAGTAATTCAATAAAAAAAAATAAAATGAAGAAGAAAATTTTGTAAAACTAGACTTTGAAATGGGTACAGCAATTTTCCTTTCTGTTACTTGTCGGGTCACATGATCTGAATGTACTATAGTCTCAGTGATATTCTTTATGTGAATCAGACAAACCGTTCACAATATGAATAAACTTGTCAGAGTGAAAATTCCTAAGTTTCAAAACAGTGGTCTGCATGATTATCAAACACCTACTTTCCCTAAGTACCTCATACCTATTCCATATATCTCATAAGCTTGAATTGTTGCAGTGAAAACTTTAGCCCATTATATTAGCTTTTTTGTGATTAAGACACAGATATTAGGTTCGCATCATTGTTGAACCGTTCCCAAGTCTCTAGTTTTTATGATCTGGTTTCCACGAGAAGGGATATCCATTGATGTTCAGAGCACATCGTGAGAGCCAAAAGAAATAAGTAAGGAATTGGTGTTCTTCTTGAATTTCTGGAGGTTACATGCCTCGGGGAACACCTCCCTGGCAATGTGTTCCAGAGCCTCGCTGTTCGTTGGATGAATGAGTCTTTGGGAAGAGATGTTCTGCAGGTCCCCAAAGTGACCACGAAGGGGTGCGAAGCCTCAACTTGACGGGTTTATCTCGCGGAGACTGCCAAGGAACGAACAATAATTGTTGATATTTCAGTAGGGCTTTGTCCATGAAAATATCTATAAATTGCCAGATCGCCAACTTCTCTACGGTGTTCCAGAGAAGTGAGTGAGTTTGTGAGCGAGGCATCACCCACGAGAAGAATTGTCCTTTTTTGAACGTAACCCAACAGTTTCAGGGTATGTCTGGGTGCTGCACTCCAAATATGGGAACAGTATTCCAGGACAGGTCGGATAAGCAGCTGACTGGAAGTGAAATAGCTCCTGGCTTGAAACAAAAAACCAAGTTCTTGGGATGCACTTTTAGCAATTGATCTCACGTGATTTTTCCAAGGAAGGTTATCGCTAATAGTAATACCAAACTTCGAAATGGATGTCTTCAAAGGTATGGTTACTCCTGACAAGCTTATGTTGGGCACATTGTGATCGGCTTTTCTAGAGAAAAGGCATGCTTGTGTTTTGTTTGCATTGAAATCTACCAAGTTATTGGATCCCCATTCGAGAATTGTTGCCAAGTCCATATTTATGTTGCCAATATTCCTCCCTCGTTCGTTTCTGATTTGCCTGGCTGGTATTGGGGCCCTGGAAGAGAAGGCGGTAGTGAGGGTATTATCATTCGCGAAACTGTGTACTGGACATGAAATTTCTTTCAACAAATCGTTGAAATGGAGTACCCAATGATGATGTTGGTGCTAGAATTGATCCTTGCGGAAAACCAGCATTTTTTATAAGAGAGTCAGATGAAACTCCGTCGACCACTACATGGAGAGACCTATTTGAGAGAAAACTAGTAGGGAAGTATCATCAGCAAAAATGGTGAATCTTTCCTGAATGGGAACAGTGGCAAGGTAACTGTGCATGATAGTCACAAGTGATTATTTGGACAGCGATTTTTAGGAAACGAAAAGTGCTGACAGAAATCACCCTTTTCCGTATAGGTGTATACTGTGTCGATACACAACATGTTATATCACATACAAAAATCACATGATTAGTTCTAGTTTTTTCATTTAATTGAGAAATGTTGACAACATAAATATGGACTTCGCAACAATTCTCGAATAACTTGTTAGATTTCAATGCAAACAAAGGACAAGCATGCCTTTTGTCTAGAAAAGCCGATCTCACTGTGCCCAACATATAAGCTTGTCAGGAATAACCATACCTTTGAAGACATCCATTTCCATGCTTGGTAATACTATCAGCAATAACCTTTCTTGGGAAAATCACGTAAGATCAATTGCTAAAAGTGCATCTCAAAAACTTGGTTTTCTGTTTCGGGCCAGGAGCTATTCCACTTCCAGTCAGCTGCTTGGGATCTATAAGGCACAGATCCGACCTGTCCTGGAATACTTTCCCGATATTTGGAGTGCAGCACCCAAACATACCCTGAAACTGTTGGATTCTGTCCAAAAAAGGCAATTCGTCTCGTGGGTGATGCCTCGCTCACAAACTCATTCACTTCTCTTTAATGCCGTAGAAAAGTTGGCGATCTGGTTTTTTTTATAGATATTTCCATAGACGATGCTGTTCTGAAATATCAACAATAATTGTTCCAACCTTGGCAGTCCCCGCGAGATTGACCCGTCGAGTTGAGGCTTCGCACTCCCTTCGTTGTCACTTTGTAGACCTGCAGAACATCTCTTTTCAAAGACTCGTTCATTCAAAGAACAGCGAGGCTCTGGAACACATTGCCAAGGGAGGTGTTCCCCGAGGCATATAACCTCCGGAAATTTGAGAAGAACAATGATTTCTACCTCATTTCCCTTGGTTCTCACTATGTTCTCTGAACATTACAGGATATGCCTTTTCGTGGGAACCAGAATTTAAAAAAACATACAAAAATCACATGACTAGTTGTAGTTTTTTGATTTAATTGAGTGTGATAGCATTCCTTCTATGTTGCAGGTGGCCTCTTCATCTCTGGCAACCCCTTCCGCTGCGGCTGTCAACTTTCCTGGCTCAGCCACTGGCTGCGTCGTTGGGCCAGGGAAAGTGTACAGTCCCACAACACGCCAGTCGAGACGGCCCTGAGAATAGACGCGGCCATCAAGGAGGCCAGCTGCATCGACGTGGCCACGGGCATGCGCGTGCCCATTGTGGAGCTCGAGCCGGATGACATGAGCTGTCACGCGAGCGCCCTGAGCGATTCGGCGCAGTCCAATGATATTTCTGTGATATTTGTTACGCTGCTGTTCGCGGTTGAGTTTTTGCGGTAGTGAGTGTTGTGACGTTGTGCGTTGTGGTGCTGGGACGTTGTCTCATGGTGATGTTTAAATAATTGTGAATTGAAATCTGGTAGATTTTTGACTACGAGATATTACGAATTAGACCAAAAAGCCCTAAATGGAATATTGGTTATAAAGGAGATACAGAGTATCGGATAAAATTGTATCATTCATTTGTTTCGAAGCTTCTTGTATTGGGTATGTTTTTGATTTTTTTGTTACTTATTTTTTTCTGGAAAAATAAAATCGATAATGAAAATGTGTTCAAACTACTATTTATTGAGATAATTCACTACAAAGGTACAAATTTCACCTTTTTCCGCCTGTCTTTTGGATCGCATTTAGAACAATTTGCTCTCCTTTTTTCATCATTGGGCAATTTATTCATGACGATATACCTACGTCAATGACACATTTTTTCATATATGGAAGTCAACTAGAGATATGATTACCTTGCGATTTATCTTCAGATTTATCCATATTTAGTGAGAAGATGGAAGAATATCATTTGAGAAAATGACGTGTGTAACATCATTCAGAAGCAATCTCTTCACCTTTGACCTCTCGTATTTGAATCGATTATTGATTAAATGGTCGTCATATGGTATGATTGTTCACTAAAAATATAAAAAACTTTGAGTACATCATGAGCGAGATCATGAGTATATGAAGTGTCCAATGACAGAATAAGAAGAGCAAGTAGCTGTGAAGGCATCCAAGACAGGAGGAAAAAGAAGGCGAAATCTCGAACTTTTTCTTGGAATATGTCGATAAATAGTGGTTTGTTCTCATTTTCATTATCAAATTCGTGTTTTTTGGACGAAAATACGTAGGTAAAAAAAAAAAAATTTTCGAAAAAAAAACCATCGCATTAAAAGGGCAGAATTACTCTTGTAATTTTCAGGGACGTCACATGAGTTGCCGCACTTTACTTACTATTTTTGTCCTTCATTTCCATCGAGAAATAAAAATGAACACGTCATTCAAAAAACAAAATGGGTAATACTTAATATAAATCCAAAACTAGACTTTCTTTGAGCTGCACAATAGGCGAGTTGACTATTTTTTTATTATTTCTAAAATATACTCAATCTTTACTCAGATACCTTCCAATTCCATATTTTTTTGGAATTTTTCGTTCGATTTCAAGGTGTTTAAATCAACAATAATGGCACGGTAATTCTCAAACGGCTTAAAATATCTCGCGAGTGAAAACTGACGTCACGATTCCGAAAGAAGGGACAGACCATAACACAGTTGCCAAGTGTTGAAATACGATTCCCAATCGTAATTCAGAAATATAAGTTATTCGATAATCCATGAATCTTGAATTTTGTTATTGGTTATGTTCCTGATTAAACATAAAAAAATCTATCGTCTCAAAATATTTTCTCCTTTGTTGTGGCTTATTGTTTGAGGGTAAACATGACATCACAGTATCACGAGTTGTGGGCGGTGCCTTGTTAGTTCTCAGCATTCAGCACATTGTTGCCAAGTCTTCAACATCAACATGTTATTTTGTTATGGGGTATAAGAGATATTAAGACATGTTGGTTGCTCGGAATAGTAAAGAATACACTATTATATCATGACTACCTTATATTATGTTTTATCTCCTGTTTTATTCAACGACAGGTCTCCAATTTTCTGATAAATTGATTATAATTGGTGACTTGACAACTTTGCTTCATGACTAATAATGAAAGTTCATCTGACCAATAGCGAAACAGCATAAAAACTGACATACGTTTGAAATGAGCTCTGAAAATCTGAAAATCTGAGGTGGTCGAAATTTTTGAAGCCCCGATCTTCTCCATGAAGGCCTGACGTTTTCCTTCTCCTACGGGTACTCACAAGACGTGGCCAATGAGGTAAAGTTCTGAGATTAATGACTAGTATAACTTATTTTTGTTAAAATGATTGGTCTGTTATATTCTTTAATGAAAATGGCACTGCACTAAAGATATAACAAGTTGAGGTCGCATTCATTCCACAACGGTTATTCTCATATGGTAATTTTTATAAAGAATACATCGGAATACATTGGAGAAAGTACCAAATCATTTCATTTCAAGAATCCCTAGTTCCGATTTTATTTTGTATCCATACTCAAAAGCGTCGAAGTTATTGCGATAAATAAATTCCAGAATTGTAATTTAGACACTCTGTATCTTACTTATTAGCAATATTTATGCAAGGCAAACTGGCTCGAATCATAATGTTTTGGAGACGAGAACCTTCCAAACTCCTATGTACAACAAGGATCACCCTTTATATAGGGGACATTAGGGATGCTGATACAAAGTAACAGGTGGGGCAAAAGTAATAACGCTGTAAAATGCTGTTATTTTTGCAAATAGAGTCATCTGTCATGGTGACTAATATTTGTGTGTAAAACACACGTCCAACGAGTTATAAAGCACACTCATATTTTCACAACTGATATATGGCGCATCTTCTATTTGATATCTGAACGACAATTGCATCGAAACAAATGGTGCATTTTGCTTCTGAAACGACGAAAAATGAAGGATGTAAAGTTTCTAAGTCATGCTTCTTCACGAGATTTTTGGTGAGGTCAGGATCGTATATGATGATAAAATTTTTAATGAGCCATTATGATTGGCCCGCAAGATCGCCAGATGGCTCGCAAGATTGCCAGTTTTGCACTAGCCATCTTCCTGTGGGACTGAGGAGTATTTCTTATATTCTATACGATGATCATATAAGTTTCCTATTGGTCAAATACTCGAAATGACATGGGCCTGAACCTATTATTTTTTACCAAAGTCGGACAGTCTCGTTGTCACTGGATATCCATGATTTTAATTACCTCAGATTATAGCTTACATAAATGCTCTCTCATTGGCGATCAGCCATATATCTCGCAGTAGTACTGAATCCGTAATTTGAGTATCGACCTTGTGACGTTCAAGACTTTTCGTGAACCCGCTGAAAGATTACAGTTACATACAAAGAAAGAACAAACCACATATCTCGTGAATCTACAGAAAAATCCTAACATCGTGTTGTAAGGGAACAGCTAACTTTTCATTTCTCATCTGAATACCGTTGAATAAAAATAACAGTATGGGATTACGAATAAATGATTAAATATCATCGTCTTCGTCATGTCACCACGTTACATCAAATTCCAAATGTTGTCATTCTTCGGATGAATATAATTCGAGTGTATGGAAATTTTATCACTTTGGAATCACGAAAATATTCGTCCAAATCCGAATCGTACGTCGAACAATGAATGCATGGAAAAGCTCCGTTATTAGAGGTGTGTTCGTTTAGACAAGCCACATACATTGGCAGCCCTGAAAAGAAGCATTGCAGAAGAAATGGCAAATATGGTGTGATTGAAAATGCTCTGAATGATATTGGTGGTGATTTGGCTGATATTGAGTTATAGACTCATTAGCAGAAACTGAAACTGGTTCATTCCATTTACAAAAATAGTTATAGGCTCAGGAAACAGGATGATGACTTTTGGGCCACCTTGTATGCATCTTTTTCTCCTGTTCATAGTGGTTCACTTCTGATCTATCAAGCTTCATGAATCGATAGAGCATGTCGAAATGTTATCAGGTCTTCAGAAAAACATTTCTTCATCTGTCTATTGAAAAGTGCATAAAAATGCATGAACAATTTTGAATTTGTATAATCTGAGGGGACAAAGTTAGAGGAATTGTTTTTGTGATAACAATAAACAAATATTTCGGCGTGTTCTGTCTCAAATACTGAAGTCATTAGGAAAATAAATTGGATTGAATCTATAGATTCATCGTGAGTACTGGAAGGACAATGAAACTGTTTTCCCTTTGGACCTATATTATATTTTCTGAGCAAGTCGATCAATATCCTCGTGATTTTCAACATTGAATATAATTCTACATCCAAATAATTACATGAATATCAACCAGACGTTACACTGAAATAGTAACAATTCCCTCAAATGACCTTCTTCAACTCAATGAAATGTGTGAATTCGACAAAAAAACTCCATACGACTGTAATTCATCGATATCTATTGACATTAAACAAGAATTACCTGGGTAATGATTCCAATTATATTTCATTATAATTTCTTTTATTTTTCGAAATTGCTTACATTTTCAGCCATGGTACAATAGTTGTACCTATAACCTAAGGAGGTTTCACATTTTCGGCCGCCTGATGATGAAGAACTATTATCGTGTTTTTATAAATTTTTTTGATCCAAGTTTCACTTCATATCTAATTTTTTCATCCTTAATGATGTGTCACAATATATCAACCATGCACGTAGATATTAGTGTATCTCTTCTCATAATTTTATATTTTATTACTGATAATAATCTTCAGCCTTCCTGATGATCGAACCAATAGAATTCTGGAAGCTTTGATAACCTGTTTAACAGTGATTTAACATCACAAAGTACAATTTTTCGGTAGTGGGTTGATTTCAGGAACACATCTCCCTGTATAATTCTAGAGTTTTGCTGAAGTTCTTCCACAGGCAACCTCATACTTGAAGTTCGGAAATATTATATTCAGTGTTTCAAATTGCGAGAAAATCAATATATTCGTTCACATCGAAAACGGATCCATTTCCCTGTGGTCCAATTAGTGTGTTGAAAGCCATAATTAAAAACTGCGGAAAAATAACTATAGGATCCCAGATAATTTGGAAAGCAAATCCTTAGTTGATATATAGCCCTGTAAATTCTCAGTTTGGATAATGAATAGATGCATATGTTGCGTTAGTAAACATACCGAAACCGAAACATTCCGAAAGTAAGCAGTTTCGAATCGAAACGACATGTGGATGCATGAGCATCAGAGGAACATTATATCATCGCCCAGGCAGCAAACGTTAGATGCAATACATCCTAATAACGTCTAATATTCGATTTCCCATTGTTTTATAATGTTTCTTAGGTAGCAGAGTGACTGTACTTGGATCAACAACTGACTTCATATTGATGTAAATACTGGAGATC